TCAGAACGTTTATTCGTCCGTCTCTCGAAAAAAATCCATGTTTCAAGTAGAATCTATTTAAAAGTTTCTTAATCCCTTAGTTACAGAGAAATTATTCGCAAAGCTATACTTTTTTACAGCAAGGACAAACCTGTCCAAATATACCGATAAAACTGTCCAAAAATACTGACAAAACAGAGTGCAAAACAGTGTGACAATGAGATTTATATCTGACGATATTTTACATCAGAGTTGGCTAACTGGCGGTTAGCTTCCCCCACTTTTCTGATCGCTAACGCTATCCCCTCCACTGCATCGATCTCCCCACTACATTGAAATTTCCTCATGCATGAGAGAGTGGGGCTCATCTACGGTGGAAGGAGTAATGGAGGGGATAGCGCTAGTGATCAGGAAAGTAGAGTTCTGCTTTACACTGTATAATGTTTAAGATAAACTTTGATTAAATTAAAATTTTGAAATTGAAAAAAAAATGAATAAATTACAGTTCATTTTGTAAAGAATTTGATAATTTAAAGTCATGATGTAACAACATGACAGTGTATAACAGCTTCTTTCGACTGAGAAACAAGTGAGCCACTATAGTGACTACAGAGCTGCTCTAGTGACTATAGAACCACTATATAAGTATAAGCAGTATATAACAGCTTCTTTCGACTGAGAAACAAGTGAGACACTATAGTGACTATAGAGCTGCTCTAGTGACTATAGAACCACTATATAAGTATACACAGTATATGACAGCTTCTCTCGACTGAGAAACAAGTGAGCCACTATAGTGACCATAGAGCTGCTCTAATGACTATAGAACCACTATATAAGCATAAGCAGTATATAACAGCTTCTTTCGACTGAGAAACAAGTGAGCCACTATAGTGACTATATAGCTGCTCTAGTGACTATAGAACCACTATACAAGTATACGCAGTATATGACAGCTTCTTTCGACTGAGAAACAAGTGAGCCACTATAGTGACTATAGAACCACTATACAAGTATATACAGTATATGACAGCTTCTTTCGACTGAGAAACAAGTGAGCCACTATAATGACTATAGAGCTGCTCTAGTGACTATAGAACCACTATACAAGTATACACAGTATATAACAGCTTCTTTCGACTGAGAAACAAGTGAGCCACTATAGTGACTATATAGCTGCTCTAGTGACTATAGAACCACTATACAAGTATACACAGTATATAACAGTTTCTTTCGACTGAGAAACAAGTGAGCCACTATAGTGACCATAGAGCTGCTCTAGTGACTATAGAACCACTATACAAGTATACACAGTATATGACAGCTTGTTTCGACTGAGAAACAAGTGAGCCACTATAGTGACCATAGAGCTGCTTTAGTGACTATAGAACCACTATATAAGTATACGCAGTATATGACAGCTTCTTTCGACTGAGAAACAAGTGAGCTACTATAGTGACTATAGAGCTGCTCTAGTGACTATAGAACCACTATAAGTTCAGTAGCTGTGACGTTAGCTTTCTCGATTCGTGGTTTCAACCCATCGCTAGCTACCTTACCCTCTTTCACGCGCAACGGGGCGGCGTGCGTTTGACTCGCGCTCGGGTTTTATTGAAAATCGTGAAAGCGCGGCGCGAAATGTAAAAATCGCTCGATAAGAAGCGTGCGCGGAACGAAGATAGGCGAATCTTCTGCTCGACGAAGCGTGACCCGATAAAACGTATATCGTTGCTCCGTACCGCGCAACAAGAAATTCCTTTTCCTCGTCGTCGTCGTCGTCATCGTTGTTGTTGTTGTTGTTGCTTTTCCTCCAGCCTTTCGCTGCGTCCTCTTCCATGTATAACACTATGTATAATACATACTCGGCAATATTCTCGCGAGAGCTGCTTACGGAGCTTCGCCAGAAGATCAAACCAGGTTCAATTTCCTGATCAAACCCGGCAAAAGCAACTGTGTTTGTTGCTTGCTTGCGCTTGCTTGCTTCCGAAGAATTTTTATTCCAACCCTCTGTATGTGAAATTAGACTCCGTACGTGTACGTATGATCATTTGAAACACCATGCTTCTCAGTTCTCACAGAATAAAAAGTATTCGAACACTTAGCTAGAAATAATAGAAGTTCTCGAGAGATGTGAAATCATTCTTCTCTTTTTTTCTTTTTTTAATTTTTTCTAATAAATAGTGTGTGTTTTAGGTTGTATCGCAAGTTTTACCAATAATTCGTTGAGTATAATTTTTCAATACTTATAGTGGCTCATGAAATTATTTGAATACCTAGTCAAAAATATATGAATGAAATTCTTTATTTATATAATTATATTATTATATTATTAACTATATTATTATATTATATTAAAAAAATTCTTTATTCATATTATTATATTATTATATTATTAACTATATTATATTATATTGTATTAAAAAAATTCTTTATTTATATTATTATATTATATTAAAAAAATTATTTATATTATTAACTATTATATTATATTAAAAAAGTTATTTATATTATTAACTATATTATTATATTATATTAAAAAAATTATTTACTATTATATTATTATATATTATTATTTACTATTATATTATTATATATTATTAACTATTATATTATATTAAAAAAATTATTTATATTATTATATTATATTATATTATATTATATTATATTATATTATATTATATTATATTATTATATTTACTGCGTTATTATACGTTTACAAGCGTTATTCTCCCATTGTACAAAATAGCTAATTTTCTCGCGATTTCTCTTAATGAAATACCTTCTTTGTACACCCTGTAATAATGGCATACCTAAGTTCCTTTTGTTAACTCCTCGCTCCGCGCCATTTTAATTCCTCGCACTCGAGTGTTTCTCCCGCTATTGAAAATTACAACTTAGTACGAAGTATTTCGAGTAAACCGGTCATTAATATTATTCACAGTTCGTGGATAAATTGCATCCATATATACTTTCTCAATACTTTGATTCATTGAATTTTTTACAAACGTTCGGAACTTTTGAATTTTTGCCCAGCCGAGGAGAAAGTTTCTTGGAACTATACTGTTGTTTTTTGTTATACTTCTCACTTTTTGAAATTATTAAATACTTTTATATTGCAAATAATTTTATGGGCAGTGACATATGTCAAGATTTGAATCTTATTGGGTGTCAGATGAAATAATATAATTGATACACTATCAGTAAAATTATATATTTCTCTATAGGTGTAAAATTAAAATTGATTTTATTGCAAATCACGAATCAATTGACAATTAAGTAATGTAGAACCGCTTCTGCTTTATGCAATCCTCGAACCAATATAACGCGAATATATCTGAAATTTGCCTTCGTACAAAATTTACTGAGAATGATTCTCTGCGACTTAAGAAACATAGTTTCGTTTTAACTCTTGTGCAACAGGAGAGTTTGTTTAAAGTGCACGTCGTGGGACAGTTATTTCTATACACAGAGCTGGCTGCATTATTTATAAAAAGGAATTCACTTCAATTGCAAGGAATCATTTAAATCCTTTTCGTTATTTTCAATATTCAGAAATCAGAAATAATATAAATAATATTTTTCAGCTGTGACTTCATAGAGAGATAAATTCAGTAGAAGATTTATTTTATCTACCGTTTTATTTAAAACAAAAAAAAAAAAGAAAAGAACAAGCTATTTATTTCGTTTCGTATAACGCGAAAAATTTTCCACGCGTCGTATTTTTGAAATTAAAACGAGAGTAATTACTCTCTAATTAGAGAAACTTGGAAAAAAATAACTCCGAGAAAATCGCGTTTACAATTTTAAATTAAAGATCGAGTAAAATTATTAATTATATTATATTAAACAACTAAAAATATATTATATTATATTATATACAACAATTAAAAAAATATATTATAATATAATATTATATTATAAAACAACTAAAATGTATTATAAACAACTATAATATAAATATATTATAAAACAATTGAAATATATTATTAAACAACTAAAAATATATTATATTATATACAATATTATATTATATTAAATAACTAAAGAAAATATATTATAAAACAACTGAAATATATTATAAACAACTATAATATAAATATATTCCAAAACAACTGAAATATATTATTAAACAACTAAAAATATGTTATATTATAAACAACAACTAAAAAAATATATTATATTATATTAAACAACTAAAACCAATGTTTCAGTGCTGTAACATTGCCAGTTGTTCGAATGAAATTTTCAAAAGAAGATTGCCTTTAAATGAAGAACATGCGCCTCGAGATTCAAATTCAAATCAAGCTCAATCCTCCTGAATTATGTTAGATTCTCCGCGAGCTAAATAATCTTCGTTCGATCAGCAAAAAAAAAAAAAAAAAAAAAAAAAAGAGAGAGAGAGAATCAACGACCAACGGTGTCGATCTTAATTGACTTTTAATGTAACAAGTCGATAGAACGGCGAAGCCAGTAGTCGAACACATAGGCCTCGTTTCCGCTGTTCGAGGATTGTTAAAGCAGAAGCGTGTGTGTCTCCTTTCACTCGATCGTACGATCTGTATCGCGTAATGTATAATAAGAACGACTAAAAATAGCCGCGGTTAAAAATGAAGAGAAATTTCTCACGTCTCAGAAGAAACGATCAATTTTAAAATATTTTCATTTTTTCTTTTCAACTTTTCAATATCGAGACAACTCTGATCTGGCCGTGGGATATATTATTATATGAAGAATAGGTTGTTTTGAAATTTGAAAGATTGTAGAATATATCGTGGATAAAATGTTCGTTTAAATCGTGCAAAAATTTGGAAACGCCAAATTTTATAGTTTTACTGTTGAAAGAGCATTGATCCCTTCCGCGTTTGCGAATTAACGATGAAATCTTACAGCAGCCAGTACTTGACCTTTACACGTCAAATATTTAAACTTTAAGAAGTACAGTATAGATGTAATAGTATTTGATAACTCGAAGATTTGATTTCAACGTTGAAAAACAACTTGACGGATTTCGCGTTAGAGTGGAGAGTTTGTCTGATTTTTACGTGATTGTTGCAGACGCTGGACTTCGACAGAGATGGTCTGACGAAGCTGAAGAAAGCGATCAAAGCCATCCACAACTCCGGAAACGGTAAGTGCCGATAACTAGTTATCCCTCAACAAGATGGTTTCCGATCAAAACCAATTTTATTCGATGGTATTTAAAAGATGGTTCTTCATAGAATCTTTCGTTTAAGAGAATGCCATTGAAATCTCTAATTCTATTTCAAGCAAGCACAAGCATATATTATATCTAAAAGATTAATATATATTATAATAAAATATTATTATGTATTTCTGATTATTATATATTATTATAAAAGATTATAAAAGATTATTATATTATTATAAAATTATTATAAAAGATTATAAAAGATTATTATATTATTATAAAATTATTATAAAAGATTATAAAAGATTATTATATTATTATAAAATTATTATAAAAGATTATAAAAGATTATTATATTATTATAAAATTATTATAAAAGATTATAAAAGATTATTATATTATTATAAAATTATTATAAAAGATTATAAAAGATTATTATATTATTATAAAATTATTATAAAAGATTATAAAAGATTATTATATTATAAAATTATTATAAAAGATTATTATGTATTTCTGATTATTATATATTATTATAAAAGATTATTATGTATTTCAATTCTTAAATTCGTTCAATTTAATTTACTTGCTATTTAATTATTTGGTTCTTTTATACTTCTGTTCCTTTTATCATATTATAATTCTGTTTTTTTTTTTTTATACTCGTGTATTATGTGGCAGAATCTCAATTACCAGAACTGATACGAAGAAACAAATGTGCTTGGATAATAAAACCATCATTTGTGACTTTATAAATTTTAATTCGATTTTAGTAGAATTTTGTTAGATCAGATTTTGATAGAATTTATTCTCCAATGTTTCTACATAATATTGTGACAATTTGAGATTAATGAAAAGTGTTTTCTGTTAGTGTAAAACATCTTATTGCTAGAAGTAAACGCTTCGAGGTTTATCATTCTACGATTTCTTTTTTTTTTTTTCTTTTTTTACAAAATTAACAGTTTCGATACTCAAGTGACCAAATATTAATGATCGTTGTATGTACTCAAAGTTATTTAAATGTCTCTGTAAAGGACAGATGTAATTAAAATATTAGCTATTAAATTATTAGCTACTGTTCAAATAAAATTAAATATCACGAAATATAATAAATATTTATCCATCTTCAATTATCCTTTCTTCGCTTGTGCCAATTGACTCTTCGACTGCTCAAACTCTATCAAGTTTATATTTAGTTTAATTAGTTTATGTAGCTTAATTTTTAAAAACACTTCACTTCAGTAATCAAAAAAAATAGAAGCATATCTGCAGATTTGTGAATGACTAGCCAAGACTGACCAGTAGGTGGTATTCTATCTCTTTTCGTGAAAGTAATCGATCACACGCCCCATATTTGACGCTTCTAAATATAGTTCAGCCCCAAGGATAAAATTTTTTCCAGTACTTTTTCTACTACCTAGATTCATACGCACATATATTAATTATACAATCCCAGCAGAGTCATTTTGACAAATTAATAATACATTTGAATATTCATGGCATCAAAAAGAGAATATTATGTATAATAAGTAGAATATTAAAGTAAAATATTATATATAATATAATATAATAAATAGAATATTATATATAATATAATGTAATAGAATATTATATATAATATAATGTAATAGAATATTATATATAATAGAATATTATAATATTATATATAATACAAATAAATTTATACTTATTACTGTTATAGTATAAATGATTGTATTTATTATTATACAATAATTTTTATTAATAATTTGCACTTACATTGGTTCACGAGAATATTTATAAAAAGCTTTTATAAATATCTGTGTTGTAAAAAAATATTTAAAAGTTCTATTAATATTGTAACTTACACGCTGTGGATATTTAAAAAATTATTTAACATTAACAGACAACTATTAATATTTAAAATATTTTTGAACATTCATGCCATCAAAGAGAATTGTATATAATAAGTAGAATATTATATATAATATAATATAATAAGTAAAATATTAAAGTAGAATATTATATATAATACAAATAAATTTATACTTATTACTGTTATAGTATAAATGATTGTATTTATTATTATACAATAATTTTCATTAATAATTTGCACTTACATTGGTTCACGAGATTATTTATGAAAAGCTTTTATAAATATCTGTGTTGGCGTGTTGTAAAAAAATATTTAAAGGTTCTATTAATATTGTAACTGTGGATATTTAAAGAATTATTTAACATTAACAGGCAATTATTAATATTTAAAATATTTTTGCAAATGTACGATTTGAAAAATAGATTGTAGATAGAAAGTGTGCTACGATCAGTATTGTATTTTGAATATTTTTGGAATTAAACTGCAAGGACAGATGTAATTAAAATATTAGCTATTATATTATTATCTACTGTTCAAATAAAATTAAATATGACGAAATATAATAAATATTAATAATTGTATACATATAGTTTGTTTAGAAATTTAATTATCAATCACTCCTAATATTATCAAACTATATAGTTAAAATATAACAGCAATAAATTAAACATGATCACTTATTTAGCAATTAAATTGTTAATTGCTTATTGTTATTAAATTAAAAAACATAATTGTATAGTTTATATTGATTCACGAGAATATCTATTAAAAGACATAGTATACAGTTTATTTAGAAATGTAATTATTAATTATATGCGTGTACAATTTATTATATGCGCATAATTGATTTAGATACAAATTAATCAATATTGGAAATGGAAAGAAGCATGCAAATTGACATGACCAATTATATCTGTCACGTTGAGTAACAGGACAGTTTGACACAACTCGGAAACATAATAATTATCATACAAATACGTATTCCCTTTGGCGAGAATCTCGCTTCTCAACTCGTCACCCAAGTGAACAATTTTGTGCTTGATGTATGAAAACGGCTGTAATTATAAATTTATCAACAGGCGTGCAACAATAACGAGCACTGTCACGAATTTCACATCCTGTCGTCGCGAATATATTCTTTTTGAAAGTGTGCGCGCGCTATTAAAATCAATAGAGCAATTCCAGTAAGAAAATTGAGTAAAAGCCAGAGAATTATTGGAGGAAAATATTTTCGTGGAATTAGAATTGACAGGATTTATAATAACGGGTGAAGAAAATTTGGAAAGTTATTTTAAAACTACAGTCGTTAAATTATTTTATCAACTGTTAAATCGACATATTGTATATTATGTAAATTGATCATTAACTATTATAATTATTAATTATCAAATTATATAAATTATTAGAAAAGGAAATGCTCGGGTAAAAGAGTGTATTCATAGTATTATAGGATTATTTATCAGAAAAATTTTATTATAATTACCAATTTTTATATATTATAATTACAAATATTATAATACGAAATAATATTCGAATGAAAGGTGTGTTTTTTTATGCATATCAAGTAGAATTGAAATAATTTTAGTAAAAGGTGAAAAATAATTGAGAAATTGTTAAAAGTAATTGTAAAAATTATCAAAGGGAGCAAATATTCGAATATTATTGTAGAAAATTGGTAACGGAACAAAATTCAGTTTTTTTTTTTTTTTGTTAAAAAATTGTAACACTGGTGACAGGTGACAGAATGACAAATTTTGGGAAAGTTTGATGTGAAACGAACCTGCAGATTGGCTCAAAATTACCTTTCATACAGCGACAGAGATATTTTGCTCGATATTTAAGCACGTGTATTTACTTTTTACAATTATTAATCATTGCACTTGAATAAATCCAGTATTTATATAACTTGATACACACCGATCGTTCATCATTCTTCAAAATTAAAAATAATAATTTTTTATTTAAATTTATTTTTGGAAATCTCCTTTATTTTATTCTTTAATTGAAAACCATCTCGATGATGATCTTTCGTAGTCAGAAATTGAAATTAAAATTTAAAAAAAAAAAAAAAAAAACAGTTTCCTACATTTCGTTCGAGAATCCGTATAGTGCGTTGTATCAGGCACATTTTCTTAATTAACACGGTCTTCAATTAATTGCGCAGCTGCGAAAAAAGAAATCTCTCCAAGAGATCTCGAGGAATTATGCTAATGTACACGTTGCACGAAATAAAGGAGAATACGAATTGCGAAATTTGGATACTTACAGATTAGAATCACGTGCATTAATGTGTAAGAAGATCGAGTTAAGGGATAACGTAGTAGAGTGTTTCGTGACAGATTCACGTTAAAGTAACACATTGAAGCCTTCGTCTTTGTTTTCTGTTCATATGTTGTTAGTTTTTTTTTTTTTTTTTTTTTTTTTT